TGAAGGTAGAGTCACCAGACCTGGACCTGTGCTCATGATGCCCAGCTTCGTCACCTTGGTGCTTTCCTCTTGCCCCTGGAAGAAGGTCCAAGCTCACAGCCCACATGAGTGTGGCCAGGAGGTCCCCATGGGCACTGTGTCCAGAGGGCACTGAGGGCTGGGGTCTCTGCCAAGACCCCTCCAGCCTCGCATGGGCAGACACCCTTCCATCCTGCCCCCACCACCCTGATGGCACAGATCTCAGATGGGACCTCTTCCCTGGAGGGGGTCCTGGCTTCAGGATTGGGCTCATCTTCAGGCTGCTGGCATCTTTTCCTTTTTTTGGGGAGGGAGGCAGAAGGTCACTTTGGGGCAGGTGAGAAAGGCATTTGGGCGCCGGATCAGTTTTCTGCAGGAGCAGATTTCAGGTGCTGCAGAAAGGGATCAGGTGGCCAAATGCTGGATAACATAACCCAGGGAGATTGGCTCTCCTCTGAGTCAGTGGGATATCTGGGGGGGCGATTTGCTCCCTGTCTCTGTAGGACCCTTGTGCAGAGCAGCGTGTGACAGCCCCACTGCTTGGGGGGGCTGAGGCCGGGGACCCCAGGGTCTCTCCTCCCATTATCCACTGCCTGGATCCTCACGTCTCCGCTGCCCGGAGGATGCTCTGGAGCCTCCATCCACCACTGAGCAGCAGCCGGAGTCCTTCCTCCCTTACTCCATTGCTATGGCAACCCCCTCGCACAGCATCTCCTCCTCCTTGCCCCACTGCCAAACCTGCCGCAGACCTCCAGGGGGGTCAGCCATCCCCACCCCAGCCTTTTTTTTTTTTTTTTTTTTTGCTGTGCTGAGAAGAAAAGCAAACACATTGTCCCTGCACCGGGGTACACACACTGGTCACTGTCCCCCCATGTCTCGCTCCACCGAGGTATTTCCTTGGTATTTTCAGGCTCAGGGTCCTCCTCACCCACTGGCACCTGTAGAGCTTGAGGATGATGTTGGCATGTGCCATTTACTCCAGGGTTTTGGGGTTTTTTTTGTAGCATCAACTGGTGTCAGTGGCCCACAGGGTGATACTTAATGGAAATTGGAGCAAATGCGTGGAAACAGCCCGGGGAATGGCATCCTGAATGCTGAGGGTGTCCCTGCACCGGTTATAGGCAGAGCATGGGAGCTCGGATGAGATGGAGAGACCTGAAGATACCGAAGATCAATCTCTGTACCTCTCTGAAGATCCTCAGGGTTTTTTTCCTGAAGGCCAGTTGCATGAACTGCCTACTCTAGTGAGAGGGAAACTGAGGCACAAAAGGGGCTGAACTGTTTTTTGAAGGTCATTAATAACCCAAACCATTACCCTTGTCCTATTTAACCCAGGCCAGAAGTCATCTGTTCGCTATGTGGGCACCCTTCATCCTGCGAAAAGGCTTCCCTCAGCCTGGACTTTGTCTCATACTGAGGCTTTTTTTTTTTTTTTTCTTCTCAGAGACTAGATGAGCAGAGTAATATGGGATGAAAGAATAAAAGAATAAGGAATAAAAAATAATCTTACAGTCACTGCTGCTCCTCTGCAATAAAAAATGCTACCAGAGTAAGCAGAAGTCCACCAGGAATAGTGACGGGAGCAGAATAATTTGTTCCCCACACCTCTATCCTGGCTGATGGGATTTTTTATTCTGCTTTTCCCCTCTCATTTCCATCCTGAATGTTTCTCCCTTCTTTTTTTTTTTTTTGTTTTTTTTTGTCTTTCTCCTCCTAGACATCTTGTTCCCCAGCATGTGACCTTCCAAAGCACCATATGTCCTTATTTACAGCTCTTAATTTAACAGGCTGTACCCCTGCAGCCCTGGTCCAGCACGTACCAGCCAACGCTGCCTCGTGAATGTTCAGAGCTGACCAGGGCACAGAGGGCTGATGGGGAAGGTACAGACATATAAAATTTCTCTGGCACATAAAACTCCCACAGGATAAAAGGCTGTGCCTGGCATCATTTTTGTGCGATCTCCCTTTTGACCGTGAATTTCTGAATGGTCTGAATTTATTGTTATCCATCACCAGCGACGATAAAGCAAAGCTTTTCTCACACCCCTGTACACCTCCCGTGCCTCCTCGTCCTTGTCCCGTCACACCTGGTTTGTCAGGGGATGTTCACATGGGTGTCCTGATCCCCTGCTCTAACACATGGGCAGGGGTGTGTGATGGGGACGGGTCTTCTGCATCCACTTCAGGATGCTTCTGATAATCCCTTTGCAGCACAGCTCGCAGAGTAGGTCAGGTAAGCTGGCTTCTCTGATGGAAACCTAACCCAACATAGAAATTAAAGGGTGTTTTGTTGTTTCAGAGACCTGATGTGTCCTTGTGCCTTCAGGATTGCGAGGATTCATGCAAGGGAAGGGGGGAAACCCCTGAGGAAAGGGTCTTAGTGAGGTGGGAGCAGACTCCCATCACTTAAATTCCCCTGCACAGGGGGAAACTGGAGCCTAGGGCAGGGAGACTGGGCAAAGTCTGGTGATTTGAGCCAGAGGCCAGGTTTGTTCCTGGGAATTAAGTAGCTCTCTGGCAGTGAACAGGTTTGTATTACAGCCTCACATACAGTCATTTTTCACACGCTTACCACTTTCAGATCTCTTTTTCTACAGCAGGTCTTTGACCCAAGTCCAAGATATCGATAGGAAATTAGAGGCGGCTCGTCTCTGCTGTTTCTTTGAGTTTGGACAGGCTGGGGAACAGACGTGCCTATTTAGGGGGTGTCCCTGCAGAGTGAATAAGTTTTGTGTCGCACCTGGGAGGAGGTGAAGGATGGGTTGGATCGATGGTGCTTTTAGGGTAGGAAAATCAAATCCCTCTGCAGCTGCTGGGAGGCGGTGATGGGGAGCAATGGGGTCACGGCAAAGGGGATGCTCCATACTGCTGTCACGCTTTCAGCATCCAGTGCCACCATTGCTGAGTTGGTACCCAGGGCTCAAATAATGACGACCCTTCCACTCTGAGGATTTTATACATGCTGAAGACACAAGACAAAGGAGTTTGTGGGCACTCAGCTTTGTAGCTGTGGCACTCAGAAAAGTCAGCCTTTCAATAAAAATATTTGTTTGGCGTTACCAAATCCAGTAGCCCAGCGTGGAGCTGCAACAGACTGCATTGGGCTGCTGGTTTTGGCCACCCCTGACCATCTCCATTGTAATGGACAGAAAAAAAAAGCTCAGAGGTGAGGTCTTTAAAGTCATTAGGGTTTTACCTTTATTGATTTTGGTAGGCTGGAGATGGAGGTGAGTGCAATTCATTGATGTGCCCTCAGCTCTGCAGAGCATCCGTGCAAGAGCTGGTGCAGGACCTGACTCTCTGACGGGGCAGCACTCTGCTTTGCCCCCTGTACCATCTATTTTTCAACAGAAAAAGGAAATGTGTTGCTGCTCCAGGCATGAGAGCTGTTGGCTTCAACGTGATATAGTATCAGTGTTTGCTCCCGCTCACCGTAAAACTCTCATTAACATAAATAAGAGCAGGAACAAGACCGCAACATGACTAATTCTCCACCCCCAGACTGTCTGTGTGTATATTATCAACTCCTCCTTCAGCTCATGTGCCTGCACACAACCGTGGGATAAATCTTGCTCTGTGTCGGTGTTTATTTTAAATTGAATCTTCTTACTGAAAAGGTTCGAGAGGCATAATTATGGTCTGGATTTCAGAGTAACACACGTCTTTGTGGGCAGAAATAGCAGGGAAAAGAATGGCTGAGTAAACTGTATTGCTGTGGCTTAGTGCACCCAGCTAGAACGTCCTGGCTGGTCTTTCTCGGCATGGCACCAGGCAGGCAAAAAAAAAAAAATTTGCTTTGTGTTCAACGTGTACATGAGAGCTCTGGATCTATTCCTAGCTCAGCCATAGATGAGCATAAGGCCTTGAGAAAAGTCTCGTATCTGATCCTACCTGCAAATGAATGCAGAAGCTGCCTGAGCTTAACTCTTGAGGAGTTGTCTGAGTTGTCCTCTGTCCCTCCAGGTCCCGGGGTTTGGTAGACCAGCCTTGGGCAGAGCTTCTCTGAGTCCACATGCGGTGGCAGGAGGAGAAGCTGGGAGGAAGCTCCTGGCTTCTCTGCGCTGGTCCTCCACTGGGGTGTTTTTGAGGGGACCACTGGGACCCTTCCTAATGGGCAGACTGGACTGATGGAAACCACAAGCCCAAGGCTCCCTGAGTGCCATCATCTGAACCCAAAGCCTGCCAGCAGCCCAGCTGCTACCACCCTTGGCCAGGGACCATGTTCCTGCCCCGAGCCTGCTGAATCCTACACCTGCAGACTGGCATCTTTAGAAAACTTAGACCTAAACACAAACCTGTAAAACTGGGGGGGGAGGGGGGGGGGGAAGAAAAAGCCACTTTTTCCCAGCTCTCCTTTTGGCTCAAACTCTTGGGAGACGTTTGTGTTGTCTTACTTCACCTGGTCCTGTTTTGCCCAAGTGGAGAGATGTAGGTTTGGCAGCCAGGAAACTGGTGAAACATCACACATGGACACCTTGACCCCCAGCAACAGCCATTGCTGTCTCCAGAGGATGTTGGGTTGTGTGATGGAGCTCCAGACAGGTCTGTGAATGTGTCCTGGACTCCCTGGCAACCCTTTCATGGCCCCTTGAGTTAGGATTGGAGACGTAGGTAACCAGAGCTTCCCTAAAAGCCAGAGCCTGTCTGTTCCTGCCCCAAAAGCAGCCAGATAGCGGAGGTGAGGTAACACTCCCCAGGAGCACCTTGGCACTGTGCCTCTCCCAAAGCCCTCGCTCCCTCCGCTGCAGCAGGAGCTGTTTCTCCCTTCTCACTCCCTTTTTCCTTCTCAAACTGGAAACCAACCATCTCCTTTTCTTCCAGGTGTTCATCCAGGGCCAGCGTGGTGCGTGAGCAGGAGCCGCCACCACCACAGCTGTCCTCCACGGGGACGCCACAGGAGCTGGTCCAACCCTGAGGATTTCCCATCCCCATCCCTGGTCCTTTGCAGCACACAACCCTATGCTGTTTGATTCCCAGAGAGGATGTCTCTACCGAAAATCCAAATAGAAGGGGCAGTGGACAGTACAGATGCCGGTTCTGGAGGTGCTGCTCCTCCTGATGACCACCTGAGGAGCCTCAAGGCATTGACGGAGAAGCTGAGACTGGAGACCAGGCGTCCGTCCTACTTGGAGTGGAAGGCGAAGCTGGAAGAACAGGCATGGAAGAGCCCCCAGCCAGCTGGAGAGGAGGAGGAGGAGGCGAACGAGGCCAAAAAGGCCACAGGGGAGACCGTCCCCTTGAGGAAGGTGCAGCTGCACGTCAATGGGAGCCCTGCCCAGGACAAGGTGACTCTGACCTCAGGGAGAATAGGTGGCTTTGAGAGCATCGACGAAGCTTTGACGTGGCTCAGGAAGGAACTGGTAAGTGGTTTCCTGTCCCTGCTACACAGAGAGATTTTTCAAGAGGGGAAAAAAAAAAAAAATGAGGAAACAAGCAACTCCTTGTTCCTACCTGCCTTCAGCCCCAGGTGAAAAGCCAACAATCAATCATTGCATTTTCTGTGGCTGGTGGAAGCAGGAGCAGCCCAGGGAATGGAAAAGGCAAATGTCAGAGCACCTGTAATCTTAGAGAAGGAGCTGGGTCCATCTCAGCATCCCTGCTGGCATCCAACAGGATGGGGAAATACGGCAGCTTGCCCTGGTTAGGACTTCTTAGCAGTTTGCCCATTGCCCTGCTTCTCTAATTATATCTCAGCACTCAGAGGAATACAGCAGGTATGAGTACACCATGAACACATGGGCACTGCTGGTGGAATAGCCCTCCTCTGATGGGCATCTCCAAGGATGCTTCTCCAAGGCTGTAGGAAGGAATCTGCCCTTGCAGCTTTTGGCTGCCGGTGGTTTAGGAACTGCCCCAGCGGGAGGTTGTACGCTGACCACTATATTTAACATGCATTAGTGGATCTAACCTCCAAGTGTTTGCCTAGTTCTCTGTTTTTCCTTTGTTTCTTTTTAACTCATGACTTTATAAGATCTTGTAGTAACCTGCTTCCCCCAAGTAATTTCTCTACGGTGAGAGCAAGTGCTTCCTTTTGTTTCTAACTTGTTCTGACTGTGTAATAGCTGATGAATAATATTCCTTTTTCTGCTGTATGCGTGATGCCAGAATCTTATCTCAGACCCCTCCTCATTCAGCTCTTACAGGTTCATCATCTGTTGGTTCCTGCTTCATTAGAAGCCAGTCTACATTTCTGTCATCCCTCTATCCTGGCCTTGGGCCCTATCTTACACATGTGTTTAATTCTGGGAGTTATGAACTGGCAGTTTCACAGAGAGGAAGAGAAGACAAAAATGCAACACCCACACTAGGAAAATATGGGGTTGAGGTTGTTCAGTCTGGAGAAGAGCAGGCTCCAGGGAGACCTTAGAGTAGCTTCCAGTGCTGAAAGGGGGCTACAGGAGAGATGGGGGGGCTCTTGATCAGGGGGTGGAGTGGATAGGATGAGGGGCAATGGTTTTAAGCTGAAAAAGGGGAGATTGAGATGAGATGTGAGAAAGAAATGTTTCACTGTGAGGGTGGTGAGGCAGTGGCCCAGGGTGTCCAGAGAAGCTGTGGATGCCCCATCCCTGGAGGGGTTCAAGGCCAGGCTGGATGAGGCTTTGGGCAACCTGGGCTGGTGGGAGGTGTCCCTGCCCATGGCAGGGGGTGGGACTCGATGGTCTTTAAGGTCCCTTCCAACCCAAACCATTCTGTGATTCTATACAGAGCCAGGGCACGGGTGCTGGAAGCTGATCTTTTGTATGTTGTGTTGTTGTCATGGCCTTTGGCAGAAATTTGGCTTGGACCAACTAGTGCTGACCCAACCAGCTCCCAGCACAGCTCAGGAGTCAGCACAGCCTGGGGATAATTCCCAGGAGGAAGCATGGAGGCAGCACATCTTTTCTGGAGCTCACAAGAGGTCAATAGGATGGACACGACCAGACTAGGTCAGCTGTTTTCAGGGCTGAAGAATGGGCTCCTGTGCTCTGCACAAGTATAGGAGCAAGAAGACACCAAGACCACACTTCCCAGTGATCCTTGGGAATGAAGAATCTTTATTGTTTGGCCCACAGGACTGGAAACAACTCATGACACATGGCTTTGTTTCTGTTGCCTAACTGGAAGCTTGCCTGTGAGTCCCACCAGCATTTGCAACTGTCTTGACAGCAGAAATATTTCCAGCAGGATCCCAGGGAGCTGGGACATCATTTGGGGTCCAGTTGCACTTGTGAAAATATTCCTGTGCAAATGCTTTGCTTTTGACAAGCACTGAAAATCTTTGAGGAAAACTTCTCATGAACAATGAATAATAGCTTTCAAAAATTCTCTCTGACTTTTGCTCCAGAGAATTTTTGTCAACTTCTTGTTGCTCTTGCTGTATTTGCCCAGCTAGATGGATCTCTAGAGAAGTTATTCACAGAGATAGTTCTGAGTGTCGCTGTTTTGGTGGTTGTTTCTCAGGACCACGGCTTTCACAAGATAAATGCAGTGCTTTCAGGAATCGAGGACTATTACAAAGGTTTTTGAGCTAATCTCCTAAAGTCACTTAGTGCTCTGGAGAATCTCAGCTCTGATCTGAGACCTAAACCTGGGTCCGTGCTTGCAGCTGTGATGCAATTTTAAATTCACACTGCACTTGATATAACACCCAAGTCTCAAGATGCCCAAAGGCAGTAAGAAGCAGATTTTCCTTCTCAGAGGCCTGAATTTTAAAAGATTTTGTTTGTTCTTTCAGTTTCTACCCCTGATGGAAGTATAACTTGTCTCAGGGTCTGATTCTATCCTTTAGACTAGGGTGTGGTATATAAAGCACCGTCTGATGAAAACTAAAAGTTTAAATTACAGAGGAAAAAGGGCAAAGCAAACCCTAATTGTTCCTCACTTTCCATTTTCCTGTCTCCTAATTATACCAGTCTTTGCTGGATCTGGACGTGACTCATGTAATTTAGAACAATTTCCCCAAAAGAGAGAGCATGGATTTGACTGACCACACAGCTGAATAGCTATGTTGGAGGCACTATTGTTGGGTAAGAGCTGCCAGCAAACAGCGAGAACACAACGAGGCCATCGCATCACAGGATGCTGGAACAAAAAGATGCATTTCACATTACATCTCAAGGGTGAAACCCAGATTCTTTTCAAATAAATGAATAAGCTTCTACACATCCCAACACAGGCAGGATTTTTCTTTGTTTACCACTGAGTTGTGATAGTAAAGCACATGGGAAGGCTTCAGAGGATAACATAGAATCATAGAATCCTAGAAAGGTTTGGGTTGGAAAGGACCTTAAAGATCATTGAGTCCCAACCCCCTGCCGTGGGCAGGGACACCTCCCACCAGCCCAGGTTGCTCAAAGCCTCATCCAGCCTGGCCTTGAACCCCTCCAGGGATGGGGCATCCACAGCTTCTCTGGGCACCCTGGGCCACTGCCTCACCCCCCGCACAGGAAAACATTTCTTCCTAATATCTCATCTCAATCTCCCTTCCTTCAGGTTAAAACCGTTCCCCGTCATCCTGTCCCTGCACCCCCTGACCCAGAGCCCCCCCATCTCTCCTGTAGCCCCCTTTCAGCACTGGGAGGTGCTGGAAGGTCTCCCTGGAGCCTTCTCTTCTCCAGGCTGGTTATGTCCATGGCTATGTCTAAGTTTCCACATTTACTTAAGGCAGGAGCCACAGCCAGAAAGGGCAGCATCCCCCAGGCAGCACCCTGCTCGGGGCAGCTCAGCAGGGAACCAGCACCTCACACCTTGGGTAAGATCACCCTAAGTGGGCAATCAATCCTTCTGGTCTGATTTAACATCAGACACCACAGACCTGGGAGCACCAGGAGAGCTTCAGGAGTTTGCACATGTTGGGAACTGTTCCCAGCAGGCAATGTGTACAGGACCACCTGATTTTGTAATTAACTCTATCCCAGCCAAAGTCAGTGGAGGCAGCAAAGTGAATTTAGTTGTATGTGTGTGCCTGAACTTCTGCTCGGCCATGGTGCTACAGAACAGGTCATGGCACAGGTTAGTTGCCTGGTGAATTGGTAGTCTAGGAGTGCCCAGCTTTAAAATTAAAGTTATTTTTAAAATCTGAACCATTGCTCCCAGGCAACACAAGAGGCATCACCCAACATGGCAAGGAATCTGCCTCCGTGTCTCCAGAGTCCACTCTGGTTTGGATTCAGCTGGGTTCAGGTTCCTCATGTTCAGAAGTGAAGCAAAGGACAACCTCAAGGTCTTACTGTGCATCTGCTATTCTTGGTCTTTCACCTCCTGTGACCTGTCCCAGGACCTGATTCTGCACGTTGAGCCCTTGCCCTGGTTTATAGGATGGACATATGCCCGCTGAGCTCCAGCCATCCGCGTCAGCTGGGACCTGCTGAGAATTTGGCCCCAAGAAGTTGATTTATTCAGACATGCAAACTCCTGCTCTTGTTTTCACGCTGAGAGGCTCTGTGTAGGTGTACGAGCAAATTGCAGCACTCAGCATGTGCTGAACTGCCCCAGGGCTGGAGCACTCTCCTCCCCAATTCCACCCGCCTCTTCTTTCCCTTCGTGTTTGTCTTTGCACTGTCAAGTGTGGCGGCTCGTCATCAATACTGAAAATGAAGCAGTCACCAGCCAGGGTATGGTGACAGACCAAAGATCAGGGTGGTCAGACTGTACTTTCCTTTGTTTTTGAAATTTGTCAGTTTTTAAAAGTTCTAAAATGAAGCCCTCAAAGTTCTCTTCTTCCTAAATATGGTTAAAGAACTAAGCTATGAACTGGGACATCTTAGGACAGTTCTGACTTTGTCCCAGCAGGAAAATACATTTTCTATCTCAGATCCACCAACGTTTGGCACTGAAATCCGAGGTGTGCAAGCCAGAATGCAGGACAGAGTCTTGAAAAGGGACACAAATCATAGAACCATAGAATCCTAGAATGGTTTGGGTTGGAAGGGACCTTAACGATCATCCAGTTCCAACCCCCTGCCATGGGCAGGGACACCTCCCACCAGCCCAGGTTGCTCAAAGCCTCATCCAGCCTGGCCTTGAACCCCTCCAGGGATGGGGCATCCACAGCTTCTCTGGGCAACCTGGGCCACTGCCTCACCACCCGCACAGGAAAACATTTCTTCCTCATATCTCATCTCCATCTCCCCTCTTTCAGGTTAAAACCATTCCTCCTCATCCTATCACTCCCCCCTGATCCAGAGCCTCCCCATCTCTCCTGTAGCCCCCTTTCAGCACTGGAAGCTGCTGGAAGGTCTCCCTGGAGCCTTCTCTTCTCCAGGCTAAAGAAGCCCAACTCTCCCATTAGTTCTGAGGGAATCGATACAGGCTAAACTCAAGAAGGGGGAGATGTGGGACCCATGTCAGGCTCTGCATGTGTCAGCTGGCAGAGGTGTGCTGGACTTTGGTGGTGTGTAACTCCCAGGTACTGCAGAAGGAGATGAGACACCTCCTTTGGGGCTGTGGTTTGCACCACAAGGGTGTGAGCGTCTAAAATTAGCCATGGCAGGGTGGCATCTGAGCACCTTTGAAGATGAATCCTCAAACCAAAACACAGACTTAACTGACTTCTCTGAAGTGTTTGGCAAGGATCTAATAACTGGCCTGCGCTTCTCTGTGCTTGAATCCAAGTGGCTGCATTCATTTAGGAAAGCACCGGTTTAGATTTAACTTTCTTTTGATCTTTTGGAAATGAAAAGGACTAGCCCCACAGGAGCAGCTGCTTTTCCACATCACCCTGAGCTTCGTGGACCACCAACTGGGACTCTGTCCATAGGACATTTTCCTTTTGGGAAGAGGTCCCAAGGAGCTCCACGTCTCCATGCCGTGAGGTGCTCTCTGCTGATGCATCCCCCATAGCAAGCCAGGGAGAAGATGGATCAATGGCAATGGGAACATTATTGGTCTCCCTGTCCACAACCACGTGGTTAAGGCAAACTTGAAGACAAGTCAGGGCTACACTATCTGCTACTTCTAGCTATTTGAGCTAGACACCTGACAAAAGGCAATGATGCCTCCAAAGCTTTTTCTCCCTCCCCCATATTAAACATCTCTGGGAAACTGAGGCTCAATCCAAGCAGAAAACCCTCCCTGGGTTCATGAGATCCTGTGGTCCAGCTTTGTGACTCAGTCTAGCTGTTGCAGTAACTCCTCTGCCAGGAAGGACCTGAGTTTGGTTCCCACCCGGGGAAGGTCAAACCAGCAGCCTGTCCACCCCAATAACATGCTCCAACCATGCAGGTGAAAGGCAGCTCTTTGCTTGCTGGCTTCCCGTGATGTGGCCCCCGTAATCCCATTATTTCTTTCCAGAAAGCTTTGTGGAGCTATGCTAACCCGGCAGACTTTTTTAAAGTCTGCTGACTCCTTTTAAAAAGATCATTCATCATGTCTAGCGATGGTTTGGTCGTTGGTGTGGGATGGATTGAATGTTTCTAGTACGCACGAGGAGCCTCTGGGAAAGGGAAGGAGAATGAGGATTTCTGGGTTCTGACCCAAATTCTCCTAATATTCTGGGTTTAATGGAACAAGTCCTTGGAGGGAGGGTGTTTGCATCTCAATCCAAGCCCCAGTGAGGAGTGGGAAGAGAGAGAAGCTATGCCCTGCAGAGCAGCCCACCCTTCCTTCCCACAGCAGAGCCTGTCATGCTCTGTCCCCTGCCCAACTGTCACCCCATGGACCTAGCTCCATGGGATCTGTCACCATGCAAGGAGCTCCCAAGCCCTCAGGAAGCCAAGGTAGGCTTGTGCACATCAACTGCTTCCAGGCTTCGTTCTTCACCCATCTACCTTTCTTTCCTGGAGGGCAGAAGAGGGTTTTATCACCCTGGGAATGCCTTGTCTTGAGATTGAGCACCTGAAGGACATGCCCTGGAGAGCTTTGTCTTCCACCTCGCATTAAAGCAAGTTGGCTTCCTCAAAAGACAGGGAAAGCAAGAACCAGTCAAATAGTGGAAAGCTGGCTTGCAAGGGAAAAAGAGCAATCTCCAAGTCACATCCCTCTCCACAGTGGCCTCATAATTCATCTTTAAACCCTTTGTGGTGGTCTTTTTTTTTTTTTTTTAATCCCACATTCCTCAAAGCAGTTAATGAAAGCATTTGTTGACATGTCTTATATAGCTTGATAAACTCACAAGAAAGAATGACCAAGGTTCAATTCAATAATGCCCATGATCGCCTTCCTGATAAAATGTCAAGCTGCTGTATTCATTGTGAAACAGGGAAAAATATCAACAATCATTTTTTTTTTTCATTGCAACTCAAGTGAGAGAAGGAAAACCTGCTGAGCAGCATTACTGTGCTGGGGGCACAAGCTATGAGGTCTGCAAAGAAATAACGTTTTTTTTTTTAAGAAGGTAAATGTCCACAATCCTGCCAACGATTCAAGAGAGATTTCACGAGAGATTCGCTCTAAGATTTGTACAAAGGTGACTTAATCCTCTCCAGGCAACTGAGCTGGAGTCCAATTGCTGGCTGAGAGCATCAGGCGAGTTCCTCCAGGATGCTTCTCCATGGTGCAGGACTGAGAAAAGCCTGGTTTGGCTTGGATTCACTCTCATTATACTCATGTCGACTCTCAGCTTAGGCTTTGAGCACAGCATCGCAAAGGGCTTCCTGACAGCCACAGAAAAGCAGCTGGAGCAGAGCCAGGCTTCCCTCCGAGCCCTTCAACCTCCTGAAGTGGCTGCTTCACCTTGCTGTGAGGCTGGCAATGCTGCAAGGGGCAAACCCAGCGTCTTTGGAGGCATTGCCATTTCTTCAAGCGGTGACATATATTACTGCATGTGTAAAATAGCTAGCAAACCTATTGTACTAAGGTGTGTAAGAAAAAAACAATAAGTAATCTTTTACACACACTGTGAGGGTGGTGAGGCAGTGGCCCAGGTTGCCCAGGGAAGCTGTGGATGCCCCATCCCTGGAGGGGTTCAAGGCCAGGCTGGATGAGGCTTTGAGCAACCTGGGCTGGTGGGAGGTGTCCCTGCCCGTGGCAGGGGATGGAACTGGATGGTCCCTTCCAACCCATTCTGTGATTCTATAAAAATCCAGACAAGGTGGCTATATCCCAAATGCCCTCTGAGAGTGAATCCCCCTGTGCTAACTCCTGAAGAGTGCCTGCAGGGAATTGCTCAGGACTGTGAGAGCTGGCCTCAGCTCAAAGGATGCCAGCACCCTGCTCGCAATCAAGGGGAGAGACTTTGTTGCAATGCACTATTATTTAATGTATTCCTGTAGATGTAGTCTGGGTCTGTTTCTGAGCTCGTTCAAACTGCAGGGAGCCAAGAAACCAGTGATGGACATCAAAGGAGCAAGGTAAAGGATGGATTTGAGGTCAGGGCAGCTCCGTGGTGCAGCTGGAGATGAGCTCCGGGCATCACCTCATGCACACAGAAGTCAGTGAGGACAGGATCTACCCAGGGAGCCACTGGGAGGGGAAAAAGCCCCAAACAAAACAAAATCAGGAGCATGGGTGCCAAGGGACTCCTTCCAGTGCCAGTTCGTTTCCTGTGATGGAGTAGAGGCAGGACGTCGCATCGGGGCAGGCGTAGGACTGTTTTCCAGCCAGTTTTACTCCTTCCTTGTCTCCAGCACTTATAGAGAGATTTAAGCCTCAAAGTTTAAGAGCTGTTTGGCTTTTCTCCCACCACTCTCTTTTCTTTGTGGCTTGTGGTTTTGTGCTTTTCTGTGAGGAGGGATGTGGGGTGAGACGTGGGGATTGTCTTCTCGGTATCTGCTGTTCCAGCTCTGCCTGCTTCTGTTCCCCAGACAAAGGTTGATCCTTGCACCAAGTGTTCACCTCCTTCCTTCACCACCACCAATATCCTGTGGCAATACATTTTCTATTTAATTATAAGTTGGAATTTTAAAAATAAAATATCTTTTCTTTCATCATTTCTGAATCTCCCACTTTCTGAAGTTAGGTGCCAGGGGAGGAAAAAACCCTCTGAAATACTTAGCTCATTAGCCTGTGGGATAGTTGTTCTCTCTCCTGTGGGAAACCATGCAGGTCCCATCCCAAGAGCCACTTCAAATCAGGAAAATAATCCCCAGGGGATGTGGAGGGCTAACTTCTTGGCTGTCATGAACCAGCTCTGATTTATGCAGGCTGGAAACCCGGGCCAAGTATTTGGGGATCAGTTCTCTGGGGTTCTTTTAATTGGCCCTTTCCACCTCTAATTGCTGCTTTTCACTGTGGCTTCTCCCTTATGAGCAAAATTAATTTGGGCTTTGCTTAAGGTTGAGATGGAGGCTCTGACCCGTGCTGATGGATACCTAAGTCAACAGCCTTGGCACGGCTGGCTTTAATTCCAGTTTCCTGGTGCTCCTGAAAACCTGAGCAGGAACAGACTTCCCGAATGCTAAAAATTCACCATCGTGAGCTGGTATTTGACTGGGATGCATTGCTGGTTTGGAAGATCCTTGTCTACCTCCCAGTTCTTTGTGGTGGCACAGCATCTCTAGATGAGTTACATTTCATAGACTAAATCACAGAATGATAGAATGGTTTGGGTTGGAAGGAACCTTAAAGATCAAACAGTTCCAAACCCCTGCCATGTTCAGGGACACCTTCCACCAGCCCAGGTTGCTCAAAGCCTCATCCAGCCTGGCCTTGAACCCCTCCAGGGATGGGGCATCCACAGCTTCTCTGGGCAACCTGAGCCACTGCCTCACCACCCGCACAGGGAAACATTTCGTCCCGATATCTCATCTAAATCTCCCCTCTTTCAGCTTAAAACCCTTACCCCTCATTCCATCCCTACACCCCCCAATAAAGAATGCCTCCCAAGATATGAAGGTTTACTGGCTTTCCAATGATTTTGTGCAGCCTCTGCCAGGGAGCAGCATGATGAGCAAATTTGCTGTGCCTTTGCCAATACCTTCTTCCTTCCCCACCCTCCGTCTTGTGTTTCAGGCAGAAATGCGCCTGCAGGACCAGCAGCTAGCCAGGCAGCTCATGCGCCTTCGCAGCGACATCAACAAGCTGAAGATTGAGCAGACCTGCCACCTGCACCAGCGCATGCTGAACGATGCCACGTACGAGCTGGAGGAAAGGGATGAGCTCTCCGACCTCTTCTGCGACTTCCCCCTCGTCAGCTCCTTCAGCCTCTCCACACCGCTCAAGCTCATCGGGGTCACCAAGATGAACATCAACTCTCGACGGTTCTCGTTGTGCTGAAAGGGTGGGAAGAAGAGGGAAGGACGGGAGAGAAAGGGAGAGAGGACTGGGCAGTGCCAGGGCTCTCTCCGCCCCATGGCTGGGCAAAAAGAGGCCAAAGAGGGGCAGAAGAAACAGGAGCAAACAGGGAACCCACAGCTTGTCTTGGTGGTAGGGCAGAGCAGCAGAGCTGGGCACTGAGAAGGCCCAGAGATGCTCGTTGAGAAGACAGGACCTGCACGGAGGAAGCATGGAGAGCATCTGAACCCAACACGTGCACCTAGCCTGCTCCTTTGTGAAGTCACTTCTCCTTCTCTGCCCCCCCACCCAAATAACTAAGAGGACACAGCTCCAGTGTGGTTGTTTGTAACCAAAAATAAAAGGAGGGGGTCAAAGATCAGCCACAATGCAAAGCAAAATCCCTTTTCCCTTCCCCTTTACCTCCTCCCAGGCTAGAGCCATCTCTTCAGAGTCGCTCTCCTCCCTGGATGTCTCCTTGGGCATCAATCCTCAGCCTCTGCTGGCCCAAGCACAGGGTACATGGGGCTGTTTTGGATGGGAAGCTGATTTCCAGTGGAAAGGAGCCCTCCCAACAGGTGAGGGACCATGGGTTAAATGGTATGCAGCCCCAAAAAATGGGGAGAAGATTTCTTTGTTGACTTGCTCTGTTGAGTCCAGGGTACTCTAGCTTAATTTTGCCTGTGGAATAGGCTATGAATAGATCACGGACACATTTATATAGAGACTGGCCAGCCAGAAGTCACCTGTGTGCCCTGGAAGTTATACCCAGGTATATACGTGTTCCTGATCTTGTTGTCAGCAGTGGCCATGTGACACCATGTGGTTACTCCCTGTGAGCAGTAAGGCAAAGGAGGTAACTTCCACCCAAGACATCTCGTATCAGAGAAACCAACCGGGCTGACATTCCCCCAACAGTAGCACCAGCAAACCCTGGATCCTCTGTAGCAACATGCATCCATCAGAGAAAGGACCTTCAAGAGGAGAAAAGGGACTTTTGTGTCATGAACTGTGACTATAAAATTAAAGGGAGAAATATTGCTGTGACGAGCTTTGGACCTGCAGCAAACACATGGGATCCCCTCCCTGCTTGACAGTATGTAAGATGGATGCTTTTATTTTCTTGCCTTTCAGTGCCCAGCGAGGGCAGGGACACAAGAAGCCTAGCCATGGCAATCTTGGGACACTTGGCACCCAAGACTGTCTAGAGGGAGCGTGGGTGCCTCTAAGCTCTTCCTCCTGTGCTGATGCCTCTCCTGACCATGTCAGGACGGTGTGATCTCCCAATTCATCATCCCAACCCAACTCTGCTCTCTGCTATGTGCCAGAGCAGAGAGTTCTGCAGCCGAAGGAACATGACTGTGTCCACGCAGCACCAGCCCAAGCCCTGGGGATGAGATGCAAGCCAGCGCTGAGCTGAAAGCTGCGTGGCCGTGTTGACGTGCCTGTACCTGACTGTGTCCGTAAGCTGTGTGTGTGCATCAGTTGTTGTGTGTGTGCGTGTGAGCCCACAGGATGCCTCACTCGGGAGGCTGAGCTGTGGACCCACATCTTTGTTCCCAAATGTGATGTGAACCAGAAGCCAAGGAGACTCTGCTGTGCCTGGGAAGATGCAACGAGGCTTCAAAACTTGGGGTTTCCACGGAAAGCTTAGATCAATGCAGAGAAGACAAATAACTCATCTGCCTCTACAGGTCTCCGTGGGAGGAATACATTAACATCATGAAGGGGTTCATAGCTACATGGGGCTGGGGACTGCAGGGGACCCAGGAGATGAGTTCAGTCCTCTGTTTCCCATAGTACATAACCCCTTGGTGATCCTCTCCCTCCACTTCAAAGCTCACTGAGCATCATTTCTTTCTGCTAAGGAAGGAGGTATTTTGGGCACTGGAGCTGCATCGATACCTGTAAGTTAATCAGTTCCCTGCCTGGGTGCTGAATCTTGTCCTGCCCAAGTAATGAAGGTTTAATGGGGTTGTGGCCAGACTGTCAGTTGGCCTCTGGACAAGACAACCAGCCATGATGCTGTTTAGTTTACTACTAGAGAAATAGCCTTATTTCCCCATGGACATCTTGAAAAAGAAAAGGAAAATCTCATTAGAATTTTTCTTTGTTTACTCTTTTAATAAAAAAAAATCAGTTCATGTCCCACATGTTTTCAGAGGCATTTTCAATCAAAATCTAGCAAAGATGACTTTTCAGTGAAAATAATGCCTTGGAAGAGGGGGACTGGTTCTCTCCAGGATCAGCCAGAGTTGACTATAGGGTAGACCAGGGTAGACCTGCCTTTGGGCTCTTTTCTGGTAGCCAGGAGACCAGTAGAAGCACAGTCTTAGGAGGTCATTATATGGGGCATTAGAAATATCAGACGTCTGGGTTCCAGACATGTATTTTCTGCATTAAGTGGAATGGGAGATGGTTATAAACTGCCAGCTGTTCATCGAAATGCACAATTTTTTAATTATAAAATTATGTCTCTATCAATTTCTGCCTCTGGTCTCTGTTCAGTGGCTCCAGCTCTGCCTGGACAGTGGTCGGGGAAGCACCAGTCTGGTGTGTTTGAAGTTTACATGTGTGCAAGGTTTCCCATCACGTTTCTCTATCCATACCCATCACTAGGACACCCCTACGGCTCCATCAGCAATTGCTCCGCCTTGCAGTCTGGAGGAGATGGGAAGAAATTAAGGTGGGAGCACTGATTAGGTATTTTGGACAAAAATGTATGGGAAAGAAAGCAAAAAAAAAAAAAATCACTCTTTTATGTTAGTCAGTCACTGAGTCAAAAGTGGGTCCAAGCACTTAAAAATATATCATGCTAAGGAAGAAAATCAAATAGAAATATGTCTGATTTTTGCTGGACTTTGTTTAAAAAAAAAAAGGAGACACCCAAAGGTTGGGTGGGCCTTGAGAAACCTGAATTTGGGGTCACTGCTCCCACCACAAAATTACCAGAAAAGAACCTCCAGGTCTTCAATAAGATGATTAATGCCCTCAAGTGCGTTCCTCCCCTTGTAGCAGTGACCTAGAGCCACGTCCCCTTTCCTAGTTGACCTACAATGCCTGCAAAGAAAGGCTGGTGGCAACCAAGGTTGACATTTCTGGGATCCATCCTGAAAATACTCTTTAATGCGACCACACGCGTGGACCACCGAACCAAGGCCATGGTATCTCCATCTGGAGCACTGGTGGCATCGTGGAGGTGGCTTCTGCTCCATCTATTTGAAGAGAGACCTACTGGACATTGATTCAAGGGTTGTCCACAGCCACCCAGCAATGAGACATGTTCCTTGCTGAAATTAAAAATCAAGTTTGAGACTAGTCCATGTGAATAATTAACTGCATTTTCAATTTAGATGGCCAGACTGGAAGACCATGGATTTCTCCAGGCTAACTAGAAGACCAAATTTCAGATTACTTTTTCTTGCCCCAAAAAGCTCACATATATGCAAATTTTGGGTGGGGGGAGTCAGTGTACATTTTAATTGGTTACATTTTGCTGTTACTTAAAGCAGTTCTAAAAATCTTAATTTAAAACTGAAACCATTAGCACTTCATTTTCATTCAAACATTGTTTGGTAATGAACAGTCAAAATATTTTCCCTCAAATAACCTTAATGAAACTTTTCCACTTTCTCTCTCCCAGTGGGTATCACCAATTCATCCAGCTAGACCCAATCCCTGAAGTTTTAGCCAAACCAAAGCTCTATATATTTTTCAGCATGAAAAAATCAGTTAAAAACGAACCGTCCCAGCATGATTTGTGACTTCTTTTGGGTCGATTAGAAGGAAGCACAAAGCAATTTTACACATTTTAACTTAAGGTCACCTGGCCACGCTCCCTGGCATGATCTGCCACAACATACTAATGGACAAGACCTTGCTCGTCTGTCACAGCCCCAAGGCAGTGACGATGAAAAGGGTCATTGTTCCTAGGAGAGTGTCTCATTCCTCACTCGTTTGGCACTGCAAAGGGAGTGATTTGTATTTTGACGTCTCCCACAATTGCCTCCATATAACCCTTAATGAAATTCAACAAAGAGATCATCACAGAAGTGCCCTCGATAGATTCCACTTGCACCAGAAAAGCCAGGGAATGACACATTTAAGGACTTTTAAAGAGTGAATTTTCAGATTTTCTCTGCTACACGGTGTTTCAGCTATCACAGCCTAACCTCTTTTATAGATATATAATATGAAAAAAAAAAAAAAAAAAAAAAAGCTGGAGTATTCCCAGCACCTTGTGGGGTTTTTTCACAGACTGAGGCTGCCTGCTAAGTGTGTTTTATTTTAGATCAGGGAAGACAGAAGGGGAGGGGAAGAAAAAAGAAGGATTGCAAGGAGGAGGTGGCAGGCTACACACCCAAACCAGAACCAGACTCACTTCCCCTGCTGCACATTTTACAACCGAGTGCTGTGTGTAAGGAGATAGGCACAAGGGCACGAGGCATCCCAGAAGGGGGAGAGGCATCCCAGAAGGGAGAGAAATTGCCCCCTGGGTGTTGCTCCTAGCCCAGCCAGCATCCAGAGGAGCTGTGCAGTCCTCCAAAAGGGAAGCAGCATCAGAAGATGGGCAAACTGCTCCCAGAAGTCCTCATCAGTCTCCATGCTACCTGGGAAGTCTGGAAAGCTGAAGACCACCAGCATCTCCCTCCAACCAGGGGACACCCCTGAGCCTCGGGTGACCTCCTGTGAAGCTGAGCCCCAAACTGCAATGGGTGGGTGTGGATTTTAAGGTAGGTGACAATGAGATTTAAGGAAAACTCTTGATTTCAGGCTTTCATCTCTCATCTTTTCCATCTCTTTTATCAAGGACCAAGACGCCAGCTCCGTGCACCCATCGTTCCGAGCAGCCGAGACCTGGATTTGCCTCATCCATTCACAAAAGGAGGATGGAGCAGGGTCCTTGTGGTCCAAGCCTTGGGGCAGCCAAACCATCTTGGTCACCATTGCCTTCAGCAACTCAATGTGTTGCAAAACACTCCGGCTCAGCCACTGGGAGAGGTCTGGAAAGCCCTGGCCCTGAGACGTTGGTGGA